AGGGCTCTGTGTGTTGTGTGTCGCTATGGGAGGCTGACGTAATGCTTGAGGTTTGGGTATTTAACTGCTTAGATATTTGGGGCAAAGATGACATAATGGTGTGAGTAAACCAGGCTTTTATCCTTAAATCTGCTTCAGTTTTGGGGATTCCTACACTGAATCTTTTCCCACAAATCCATAGTGTGGCCTCCTTGCAGAGAGAAAGCTCAAATGTCACTTGGAGATATTGTCCTGTCTAAACCTACTTCATGCTCTCCATCTCCCCCCCCCTCCCTTTGTCATTCTACCCCCTTTTTTATTTTTTTTTATCCCACCATAACCCTCCCCCAACTTGTTTTACCCCCCCCCACACACACACACACACACACACTTGTAGACTTTGAGTCGGACATTTACCCTTTATTTCCAGTCTTTGTGCTAAGCTAAGCTCACCTGCTGCTGTCTGTAGCTACACATTTAGCATATATGAGAGTGGTAAAAATGTCCCTGTCTTACTCAACCAAAGAAAACCAATGTGTGTATTTCCCCACTATATGTTTGAAGAGAATTCAGACTATATTCTCAGAAATATGTAGAATAGATGCAGTTTGAGTCTCATCTAAGCCTACAAGAACATTTGTGAGAACTGTGGAGCTATTCAACTCAGTCAGAACACAATCACACCTACAGGAGACACAGTGACCTTGTATCTGTTTGTAGAGCTGTGAGCTCAGCGGGCCTGGTAAACATATCAGAGCTTTCTCAATTCCTCTAAACACACATGGCGTGCTTTTCATCGTCGCTTTACTGAAATAGCCCATACTCAAGACCTGGTATGTGTGTGTGTGTGAGTGTGTGTGTGTGTGTGTATGTGTTTGAACAGTGGGTTCTTTTCTCCAACCAGGGAGTGACGTATTGGCCAGTGAAAAGCCACCATTGTGCAAAACAAAAGGTACAGCCCTTAGTGAGGAATGGAGGGAAATACAAGAAATTATAAAGACGTATTAATAAATTAAGAGCTGACACATTTGGAAGGACTTGTCCTTTTGGCTTAGGACAGAAATCTGCGGGCATGCAGACACACACATCCACATTTATACCCATCTCAGATCTTAACCACTTAACAATGTCTGGCCACAAGAGCCAACAATTTAAGGGAAGATGCTCTTTGTTAGCACAGATAATTAAATTCATCTCCCCCCTCTAATAAAGATTTTCAGGAAAGATTTGAGGGCTCAAAACCAGGACTGTGTCCTCCATTGCAAGGTCCTAATTATCCTGTAGGTCTCTGGATGAATGGTTGTAGAGCAGAGTGGAGAAAATGTCTCTGTCAATGAGGGGTTTTCAGTAGAGGAAATTGCTTGCTGAATTTCAGGAAAAACACAAATTAGCCCAATTTTGTTCCTCCCAATCTAATTTGGGTGGTGACGGCTCTGGAGCTCAAGGCCAGGAAATAAGGGAGGTGGTTAGAACTGTCACTCATTCTGTCTCTCTCTCTCTGCTGCCCTTCCCACATACGTCTTAAAATGTTAATAATGCAATGGATACGGCAATTTTCCATGTCATCATCATGTGGAAACTGGATTCTGCCTTTTGTAGGATTTTTTAAGAAGCTGTGAAAATTACCAGTAAGGCACACAAAGGATTACAATAATATCATATTCATACACATTTGTGTGAGTGAGCCAATCAAAGGAGCAGAAAGGTTGTTTGTTTCTGGCCCGTGACGTGCAAGGTTTGCCTTTCTTTCACCCCAACCTGAAATTAAAAAAACCTTCAAATATGAAAACGATGAAAATGACAGGATTTGATTGTTTCCTGCACTAAAGAGGCTCTGAGAACTCATCAACTTTACTTCCACTGAAGAAAGTACAGGTGTACATGAAAACACGTCAAATTGAAAAAGACACAATGATAAGGTAGTTTTGATATGGATGCTACAAGAATTGTGTAGAAAAGTAAGGAGATATGCAAGTATCCTAACATTACACATTTCCAGCATCGCTCTCGCTTGGCCTCCTCACAATCCTGAATTCCTAACTCAGTTCTGCTTCAGCTTTGGCAGCAATAATATGGAGATATATTTATTACTCATTTCTCACCTCCACCCCTCAGTGGCGTATTCCACACCTTTTGTAAATGTTTTGTAGGGCTTCCATGGTAATTGTTTTACCACACACAGCCCACCCACACACCCACACACACTCAGGCAACGCAAACATGCTGTGTAACAAATGATGTCTTTACAAATAGTTGGGTTGTCAGGCAGGTGTTGGATGCAGAGATGATACCCTGCATGCAAATCCAGCTGCAGACCAGCGATGGCATTTGACTATTGGTGCGTTTTTCCTCTCTTGTTATGAGAATGTTGATTTCACCTATGGCTATGCATCCTGACTATGCATCCTGGCTATGCATCCTGGCTATG